CTCAAGTGACTGCGTGTGCGCCGTAAGTTTGCACCATTAAACTTTGAAAGCCCCAGTTATCAGCCTCTTGTCTCTTAATCGTGCAAATTATAAAACCAACATTGTCTTGTCAGAGTAGCCAGCGTCTACAGTGGAGTAAATAGAAGAATTTTTGCTTAAAAATGCCTTATTTCAGTTTGAATTGATAAAACCAAGACAATGTTGTCCCAAGTGTTGCAAAGTTCCCTTTGGTGTGAATTACAGATGCGAAGGACAAAATCCTACTCTTCACTTCATGATATCGACCTAAAGGCCGCCCAAGAAAGAAGGTGGGACATAGTTTCTCGATCTTTTCTTGATTTGTCTATACCATATGACTGAGCCCACTCAGACTCAAAATTTCGCTCGAATCTTCTGTCGCCTCTAGCTATCAAGGTCGTAACTATGGGAGGTGACCAGGGAGCTTGTTATGCCAAATGCATCCTAGTTGGTATAGCGGTAACAGGATTTTGGTTGCTAAAGCTCTCCACTAATCCAAGTCAGTCTTTGTCCAGTGTTGCATGGCAACGGATTTGTTATAGATCCGCAATAAACCACCGCAAGTGTATCCTCAAAGTGTAAGTGGTCATCTGATCTACACCGGATGCGTTTACTGCCGATAAATAACTTTAGCCCTGTATTGCATTTTTATTTTCCTAATTAGTTAAGCTAAAACCCCCCTTGATCCGGTCTGCATGCCTTGCACTGCTTTATTGTGGGTGGAAAATAAGTGTCAGAGCGTCTGAGCGGCTCAAAATTGAACGATGCACGTAGAACGAAAGTGAACCTTCGTGACTGATGTGTTCTTATAGTTTAACGTGGATGAAAGGCGTCGAGGTGGCGCAGGGACTCCTTCCCTAGACACGTTGTTTGGATGCTCATGTGAAAGGGTGATAAAGAAAGGCAATGCTGATAAACAGTTTAATTTACTTTCTACAGTGAACGCTACTGGCATTTGTATCGCTTCTGGCAACGCGAGGTGGACAATCTACGTCGAAGTCGCGGTTGAAGTTTAAAGTCCTTTACAGGAGTGCTCCTTTTTGAGATATGACGTAATTATTTGTAAACCTATTTTCCGCATTTCTGCACTTATAGCCATCACTTTGCACACATTTTGACTTTCTTGCCGTTTGGCCTTTTTGAGTTTTGGGTTTTAGATTGGCGCAACTGTGGATTGAAGTTGGAGGAGACACTGATGGTAGCAATCTGTTAGAGTAGGAACTCATTGTTCGCACTATGCGCAGATGCTACTGGAAGACTTTTTCAGTAAGAACGGTTTCGTGTTATAATGTCAAACTTAAAATAGAAAATGCGTGCTATGCGAACTCTAGCGGGACCAACTTTATTAGTTCTTCTTAGGTAGCTTTGGTATTCCGATAGGGGAATCAGTAGTCTATTTGTAATGTTTGCCAGAATTTTAAACATTTTGATGGTGGAGAGTAGGTGATAGGGTCCGACTTCCCTCATTTTGGTGATCACTTAGCCGCTTGATTTGGCAGACTCGGACCATGTCTGTGGTCAAGATGCAGCGCGCACGTTCGCCAGCTACGGGTTATAAAAGGATGCACAAATTTGAATTCAAATGTTCCATGAAGTTCATTAAAATCAAAGCCTATCGCAGTGCCAGAACTGATTGCTGTAGTAGCAGAAGGCTTTGAGTTTGCTTCTGTACTTTACATAATTAATTTCGGTTTACTTTTGTGTTTACAAAGTTTGTTAGATTCAGTGGATGCAGTAGAGTCGCTTGTTGTCGCAATATCATTGAGGAAGCAGGACTGAGGCTGTGTTTAATGGTAGCGGTTTATTATCAAAGTAGAGGCTGGGATTCGCCGTATTGTCCACCTTTGTACACGCAAAGTAAGATAAAGACGAGAGTCTTGACATTAACAGACCTTTTTCGACAATATTGTGGCACTTCAGCACCTACCCAAGGACAGACTGCATTGCTTTCGGGTGTAACGCCTTATCGAAGTACAGAAGGGCTTGGAGGCTACAATGGGGCGATTTGAGGACTTCAATTTGACCCATTGTCAAAAGCGAGAATTGATCAGACAATTCACATTATAAATTTGAGTGATTAGATCGACCTGAACGAGTATGTTCAAAATAACTGTAAAGATTATACGGTTCCACCTGATTTAGCATGAGTCAATCTAAGTAACCACTGGTAGTTTTTTGATCGCCTCTACCGCCTGGGGAGGCTTCCATTCGGCCTAGGAGGTTACTTAATGGATAGAGCAGCTGCATTTACTATGAGAGCGGTAGAGCACATTAGCGGAGAATACATTTTTCGATATTATGGCTGAAAACCCACGCTTACTATGACGGTGAAGGCAGTCCTCAAAGCAAAATTTGTTTCTCGTTAAGAATTATTATTCCATCCAATAAGCCTATCCAAGGTAGCCCACAAGGTACCATTTCTTTTAGTCGAGGTCAAACAGGATTCAAATAATGATTGCTGAACTTGGCATCATTTTGAAAGCTTAGTAGGTTGCTTGCTTGTCTGCCTTTCAGATTCAGTGGTCCCCTCAAAAGCCGCAGCCCGTTCGGTAGTATTGCATGCCGAAGAGACGAAAAGGTGGAATTTTTAATGCAACACTAAAGCGAACTATGCTAACAAGTATCATACTAGTGGTTATGGTAACACCATTTATTGCGAAAATAAGGTGGAATTTGTGAACGCGATTTAGCCTTATTAACCACTATGCCCTGTGCCGGGCTTGACCACACCTTTGGAATAGCAGCCCTGTGACTGAGGCCCACCTACGCGGCCCCCAAGGTTCGGTATTCTGAATACAAAACCACCGAATCGGAGGCAGAAGTGAGCAAGTGTGACAACACCATCATAACTACGACAAGTGACATTAATTTGTAGGCCAAATAGAGAAGCTACGAATATATGCAACACCATTATTGAATCAGTTGATAGTTCTATCTGCAAAGATGAGACAGAAAGCATCAAGGCGTCCCTTTAACACGTTCTCCTCTCTATAGGAAACCGAATGCCAAGAATAGGTGCTTTGGGACTTCATCCAGTAGTGGCGGCGACGAGTGATGATCCTTAGGTTTGACGTATTGTTAATTGCCTGTCTTGTTGGAGCCCTGTTACTTAACTCACTTAAGTAACCACAAAGAAGTGGGTCGTCTTGAGTGTAGCCTAATGCTCTTCAACAAATTACTGAAGATAACAACCAACCACCGACACCGACAATCAAACCAAAAGTCCCAATTTCAGCCAAGCATTGCTTACTTCACTATCGTGTCTTTTATGAACCTACCACCCACAGAATTCCTACTTATTGCATCAAAGCTAGTCAAGAAAAGTGTAGAAAAGAAATGCGTTCCTTTTGTAAAAGGGAAAAAAAATTATCATGCTAAGTCTCAGCACTGTTGAGTAGACTATGAACAAGCAGTGATTATGCTAGAAAATCGCTCAGTGTGCATTTAATTGGGATAAAACGCAACAGCATCACCTCGTTCCTGTATCTTCGTTCATCAGTTGAAAACTTTTTCCCAATCAACAGACAGTGAATCGAACATGGTAAACACATTTATTAACGGATGAGTTAACTACTTAGATGTTTTTAATTTGATAAACACCAACTCTCAATGTTGTCGGTGGCCATGTTACATTTCTACTAGTCGAATGAATGGTACAATGTACCAGTCGTAAAACTGAGAAAGGTCTCACCTCACTAACACAGGCGACACCAACTGCCAATTTGCTACCACCTCAATGCTCCCCAGACGCATCTGGTCTGGATTTTAGTTGGGTGGAGGAGAAGTGGAGGAGGTTTCGCGTGTTCATTAAAATGACCTCTCCAGAGGCTTGTGGCAGGCAGCTCTGTAGTGATCCTTTCGAAATGCAGATGGTTTGCCTGTAGACACCACTTTTTGACTTGTTGAAAATCCTCACAGATTTCTTCGTTTTACAGCATGTCAAATTTATTGGAGCCCACTACTATTTATCCTTCACACATAGAAAACGTTTCATTTGCTCCTTAGCACCCAACAATGCAGCATCCCAAGAACTCGCTGGAAGGCTCCGCCCCCAGGAAGATCGTGTATTGTCGACCAACAAAGAAGTTAGAAGGCCCAGCAACAATGCAAGATCGAGGCCTCGAGGTGGCTTGCTACCAAAACCGTGTCATAGACATGCAAAACCGTCGAATTCGTTCACCTTAAAGATGAGTAGCATTTGAAAGTTATTCTGCTCGAAAATCTAGTCAAATGCTTACATGCGTTGTTAGTAATGCACCCTAAAATGAATAGAACACAAACGAATGTAGCATGAAAGCGATGAATAAGGAATCGGAACTCGCCATCGAAATGCTCAATAAAGTACGAAATTAAAAGCTAACACAGCCTGGTGGTAGCAGGTGAAATAACGAAAATACAAAAAAAAGCATAAAGGAAAGAATTCACTATCACTTTGATCAAGAGAAAGTATACTTGAAAAGTAAAACTAAGAAAACTTCAAGACACATGTCTAGCTTCCAACATGGTTCATCGACGGTAATGCTGTAGGGGGATTACTGCAGTCCTGCCCACTCCAGACGACCAGCATCCATTTGGTGTCAGAAACTCTAGTTCTCTTCATATGCCTGCAATTCGTGCTCTGTTCGAGTTCCTTACCTTTGCCCTTAGGGGACCTTCAAGGACCTTGGAGCATTCGACAATTCCCTTTAATGAGTACGATGATTATACCTCCCCTCAACATGAGTCCAACAAGTCACAGAAAAGTCAACCTAGTCACTAAGGCGGTGAACAAGACTAAAAGTTCTTCCGTCTAACGTATCCGTAAAAAAATTTTCACTAACTGGAACCTTTTACGCCAAAGGAAAGGTATAGATGACATCAAGAAATGACAGTAAGAACACGGATAATAAAAAGTAATGATATTGCAAATTTTAATCTGTTGATTCAGAAAGAGAAGTAGACGAAAGTGTAGACAAAGGCACGATAGTCAGGGGGAAGAAGTCTTAAACAGGCAGTTGTTGAGGTGCCGCCTTAAAATCTTTTCGGGTAAGGTAGAGCACTGTGGCCGTGAAGAGGAAGATCTCCGCGGTCACGGCTACTCCAAAAGGCCATGATAGGTACAGACTCTGGAAGGCCTCCATGAGGAAGGCATCGCTGAGGTGGTTCCGAGCCGCTGCGATGTGATCAGTCACCACATGCATCAAGGCAGTATGGTTCTCGTAAATATCAGCATTTAGCATACGAAAGTAGTTTCGCAGCAAACCCATTCGTCGTTGCTCAATCATCTCGGTGGGTGTGTGAACTGCTGTGTCGCCCCATATCACCAAGGCTATCAGCATTGACATGGCTTTAAATAAGCAGTAGATACACGTTAGATGGCAAACAGGAGCGCGTTAAAGACAAGCAAAGACTCCTGATGTAGTGTAAAAAAAAGTTCCACAGAGGAAAGTTTTCCCCTTATTTAATTCGAATTCCACATCGCACTTCGGCCAGTCCCGAGGCAAATTATCGCGATGATGCGTGCAAGCAAATGGCATATGGTAGGAAATGAAGTGGCTTGAGAACAATGAAATAAAATTAGAACCTCCAGATGCCTGCCTGCGAAGGAGCTTTGGAGCCTACTACAGCACTGCCAATGCCAAGTCGCAGGTGAACATTCAAATTTCGTATATTTGCGTATGCCAGTGGCGTCCTCAGCCTTAGCACCTACACTCCTGGCCACACTTGATCAATCCGCAAAAAAAATTGTTGAAATTGTGTGAGAAAATAACGTTTAGCAGGGCAATGACTAAACTTTTTGTACAAAGTCCAGACTCAGACGGACAACATTAGCGAATCCTTCTGTGTGGGTTAAGAAATGGAAGGGGTATTACAGAGTAATAAAGTGATTAAATCCTATGCCGTCTTGTTTTGTTTTGACACCGACAAACTAAGCACATTACACAAGTTCTAAAAAAATTAAATTAGAAGCCGAAATGCTAACAAAAGGCAACATTGTTCGAAATGCAATCAAGCGACTGCAAGGCAAAACCTAATTCCTGAGTCCCCCACAGTTGACTTCATTATTAACTGTTGCTGTTGGTGGGAGATACATTTCACAACTCCAGAAGGCTCAAGAGCACATTGTTCGCATAACCAATTGAACTCTTAATTTGCGTCAACCGCATTCGGCAGTTCAACTTGGCGAAAAAGATGACAGCTTCTAGTAGAGGTCGACATTTGGTCATGACGAGTATGAAGACTTGCATAAAGGGTTAGCGTACGACGCATCGAATAGAAGGTCATTCAAGTAATTATGAAGTTTGACAACCAATAAGCAAGTAAGAGGTCAACTGAAGCGGATGACTTGAAGCGCCCTTTAGAAAGGCATGAAGAATGCATCAATCGCATTGCGCAGGATTACACACCCACCCAACTCCATTCCATCCACCTCTCCCAATGCATGCAAGACTTGGACACCGAGCAACATGGCCAAAACGACAGATGGTCCCATGTTTGTTGGAGCCTATTTTATGATTCAACAAATTGCACGTTGCTCCATAAAACGGCCTCTAAGCTTTTAATCGGAATCCCCTTGATGATTATTTGCGCCTTTCGTCATAGGATATAAAAATAAAAACGCAAAACGTTTTCCCCTCGGTGAGTAATAATGCCGAGTTTAGCAGACACGCACATTAGTATGCTTTCACTATGCCAAAATTGTTTCATTATTTGGCTTGTGCGAACCTACAGCTGCGATGATTCAAGTGATAACAAAATCCAAAGTGTCCGAGCGTAATGGACCAAATATTGTGCATATTTTATGCAAAAAAAAAATAGCAACACCGTTGAACCCATTCGCATATTGTCCATTTTATTTTGTAAACTGAAAGAAGAAATTGAGGAGGCAACAAAGCAAAATACTTGAATAGTGTCACTGGGAAGAAGGTGAGGTAGGTATCGAAGTTTAAAGTGACAAAAAAAGGCTGACTTACATCCTGAACTAAGGAGAGCAATGTAGGCAATTCGAGAGTGTTTA